GCAAACTCCAAATATACAACAAGCGTCGGGGTCGAGATCGAACCCACAACCTCCTGTATACCCGGCGAGGTAGTTAACATCTCCTAGCCACCGCGACGTCGGGAGGCCCACACAGTGTGATTTGCCCCGTGCTCCGCACCTCCCTATCGACGGCTGTGGTTTTATACCTTGAGTACACCACTAACCCCAGCGTTGTATGGTATGGGTATCCCTATGCTCTCTAGATTAGTCATATACTATCGGTGCTACGGCTATACCTATCGTTGTTACTCAACTATGTGTTGTATACTATAGGTAGTTATATGATAGATATACTATAATAGTTGTATACTATAGATATCCCTGTATAATATATAGGAATACTGTACCTATGTAGAATCAGAATATTTATTTATCTTGGAGAAATCCGATGAACTATGAAGCTCTTTCACAGATCTCCAGTCAGGGGGTGGGTCAGCAAGTTAAAAGCCCAACGAACCGCCATTCGCCACCAAGTGGCGGGGACATCACCACGGCGCCTGTGCCAGGCTAGGTGCACTGTAAGGCCACGTGAAGTGTCGAAACGCCCGCTGGCAGGAGGTCGCGGCACGGACCCAGGCACCACGGGCCGACTGACTGAGAAGGCGACACCTACTGCAATGTCTCGCCCTCCTTTTGCGAGGGGAATTATAATACAATACAATTTGGCCTTAATGTAATTATCACGTTTTTACAACGCTTGTTTACCCCATGCCCTGCCGAGGTTTTGCGGTAGGGGGATATTGATTTGCTGCGTATAATCAAAAAGAGTAATTAGCAGCATCATGTTTCAACTTTGATGTAAAAAAATGTGGAATCTGACGCCACCCCGGCACACGATGTCCTGGCTCTTGCAAAATGACGTAATGGGGGGTCGGCGGTGGCCACGGTGAAGCAGACAGACTCATGTTCTTAGCTTAACAAACCCCCCGCGGTCATAGCCTAAGTACTTTATCCTTAAAACTCAAATAAGTAACAAAACAACACATTCAATGCCTGAAAACTCCGATGTTTGTGTGCAGTCAAGGATATGAGCCCCTTACGATTTAATTGCTGAAAGAAATCAAAGCGACAGCATAATTTGACATTTTCTCATCAAACGATGGGCTGGCAATGCAAGGAATGATGATGAGGATTGTATATTGTTAAAAGTGTTTAGCACAACATTTAAAGTGATTTCGAGTTTGGGGCTTACTGCCCGATGAGCTAATCTTTTAAAATTATGGTTCTTAATTTTTGGGCCCTCCCCAAGTGAAACTTTTTCTTTTTTCAACGGTTTTACTTAACGTGATTCCTCTGTTTGTCTGGGTCAAATCTTGTAATCAAAATATCGTCCACTTCCCGTTGTCCAAGCAATTCCACATTTTGCACACATACTCAGATCTCGGATGACAATGCATGCCCGTATCAAAATCGGCATCAATTAATCAATGAATTCGCTACTTTAAAACAATGTACATTTTGTATGGGCTCATTATTATTTATATATATTTGTGTGTAGGTCAAAAACGCTGCGGTCCCTAAACTGTGGAATCATCTCGCATAAAACGCAGGCGACATTGACGTACTTCTCGAAGACCGTAAGTTTAAACGAAGTTGTTAATCAAACCGTTGTTTAAAAAAAACTTTTTTAACGAGTTTATTTGGATTTTTCTCATTGCTTATTCAGGCGTGACGTTTGAAACGTCGCCATCCTCGTGCGATTACTTCGTGCGTAAAACCCCGCAGCTCGTTTCACGTTTCTTTCTCTGTCACGCATTTGCTGTTTCTGTCGCTCCCACCGGGCTACCGGTCGTAGTTTAGCAATCGTCAACATCCTTTTTCCCCCCTTTGTACAGTAATTGAATGTTGGATTACGCCACGTCATCTTCTGCCCTTTTTTGTGTGGCCTTTCATGGTCCCAATTGCTAATTTCTGGTTTTCTAACAATCATTCGTTTAACGATTTATTTTTTTACTCGCATTTTTTAAATGACTTTACCGTCTTCGGTGTTATTCTATCTTTGTTCGGTCGGGATATGTTTTTAAATCCTCTTTCACATCTTTGTTTTTTCTCATCGTCCTCTTTGTGGTCTCGGGGAAGCGGCGTTCCCCGTTCGTTGCTCCACTGTGCCGCCACCACTTCTGAAAAATAATCAAATAGCTCGGTGGGCTTTATCTGCGAAGCTAATACATTGTTTAGTTGTATTTGTACATTTTTTAAAAGTGTTTTTTGTTTACCTTCCCTAATGCCTTGCACTCGTATTGCGTTTTTATATTGTTTGTTTTTGTAAAGTTCTGACCCCGTGCCGCTACTGGGCATCTGTGAAAAAGAGCTTTATCGCGAGTATAAAATGAAGATTCTGATAGTCGTGCACAGGCATTACAGTGCTCGTTATTTCGTTGTTTGTGGTTGTTGATGCTCTTTCATCATTTGACTTCTGAGGATTTGAAACTTCTGCTTTAGAAGAGGTCTAAATTCCCCCCCCCCCTCTCCGACCCAACTCTGTCAAGTTAACTGCCTTTATATTCTTGGTTCTTTCGGTAAAGTTACGTGACTTTGCCAAAAGAACCAAGAATATGAATCCCTGCAGTCACGAAAGCTTTAAATCCAAATTTAACTGCCTTTGTTTAACATGAATGCTTTTGCGACCCATATTATTCACAATAAAGGTAAACTGGCTCAATGAAGCCGGTTGTGTAATTGCCAGTGAAGTGTCGTACACAAATTGTAAATGTTGTGGGTTTATTCTCCAACACACCAGTGTGCTGACGTAGTAACTAAAATGGGTACGTTTTGGTTACGTGACAAATCTTACTGATTAGCGGTGTCGCGTGGTGGTGAGGTTTTATATTTACGCGATCTAACCCCCAAAAAATCCTTTATTATGATTAACTGCCTCCTGCGTTAATGTCAAGCAACTTATTCATATGGTGGCACCGACACACTCAAGCTCGGTGACCTTTGAACCCTATACGGTGAGGAGGGTCCCTCCAGTGACTTGAAACACTCGGTCACAACATTCTCAGTGGCAGGTGGGGGCTCCTCCACCAACCCCCTCCCGTGAGGGTCGTCGTACTCATTTTATCGACCATAAGAATGGATGATTGGCCCAGTCCTATACCCTTGGCTGAGATGTGAATAAATTATGTGAGTGGAATAACACTTTTTTCAAAATGTGCTCGCATCACTTCCCTAAACAACACTTTAAAAGGCATTGATTATCGCGTGTTTTCTCATATTCAACCCTTGCCCGTGTGGGGTGTTGTGCCACCTCTTGCCATGGCCATGCACCTGTGTGGTTACTACCTCGGTTGAACCACAATACCTCAATGATCTTGTCAAGGAGCGCGTGAAACCATCGCACAAACTCCGGCCATCCTTGCAACGGCGGCTGCTGGCTAGCGATCGAACACAGGCTGTGGCCACCGGATCGCGCGCTCTCAGATGCGCTTCTGTGGCCGTCTGGAATGCTCTTCCTTCCAATATTTGGAAGCTACTGGAGCTATTTATTTTTAAATCTCGATTGAATTTTTAAAAAAAATCAGAACTGCTTGTTGTGATTAGTGTGTCCTTCCCCAGCACCTCCCATTAGCACAGTTGTCTATGTACGGTGCGAAAGAAGTTCAAAATACATACAAATACATAACATAAACTACTAAATAATGTTTATTTTACCAGGTAAGGCGCACTAAGCTCTATAGCTCTTTTTTTCAGAAGAAACCTGGCCACAAATGATAGCTCAACGAAGTGGCTTATCATATGTGGAGTTGCAATATTTTCAATTCCTCACGTGATAGATGCTATTTGGTTTTTGTTCAGATGCCGTTTGTCGTGCTCCTGTCATGCTGAGTGGAGTGGTGGTGCAGCGGTTAGCGTGCTGCGCTTCAAACCCGCTGACCCGAGATCGATTTCCGCTCACGGCTACCAACACTGGTGGTGATTATCTGAATCGGTCCTGGGCATCCTCTAGGTCGACTAAGCCTCAAACCTTGTGCGGTGTGTAAACATCGCCGCTAAGGAGACCAAGGCGGCGGGCGTGGTGCTGGCCTTGTGTGCCATTCCGGCCTTCATCGGTGCTGCTCGCAAACAGCACTTGCCCCAAAAGTCTGAAGGCTACACGGGGGATCTTTGTCTTTTTGTCTACCAAGTGAGACTCTACCCTGGCCTCTTGGAGTTCGCCTGCTTACACAAAACGAACTCGTAACGAGAAACTTGCAGGCCGAGTTGCAGTGAAATCTATTTTTTTCTGATTGTTCAATACAAATCATGTTTTTGCAATTGGATTTAAGGGACATTTGTCACTTGTTTTGTGAGATCGATGACAACGACTCGATGTACAGTACCATATAATCGTAAAAATAACCATTTCAACATTTTAAAAAAACCCAACCCATTGGCTATGAAATGAAACAAATATTTGAAATTGAAATATTGAATTGTACCGACACCCTGGGCGAATAGCTCTGAACCTCGTGGAGAGGGGGTGGGTGACAGGGAGGTGATGGGGAGGGGAGAGGTGTGGGTGATGGGGGTGATGGGCAGAGGGGCCGGTGATGGGCAGAGGGGCAGAGGGGGTGGGTGATGAGGGTGATGGGCTGGGGGGGGGGGTGATGGGCTGGGGGGGGGGGTGATGGGCTGGGGGGGGGGGTGATGGGCTGGGGGGGTGATGGGCTGGGGGGGGGTGATGGGCAGGGGGTGGGTGATGGGGGTGATGGGGTGGGTGATGGGGAGGGGGTGGGTGATGGGGGTGATGGGCAGGGGGTGGGTGATGGGGGTGAAGGGGTGGGAGATGGGGTTGATGGGGAAGCGAGGTGATAATGGGGAGGGTTGGGTGATGGAGGGGAGGGGACAGCGAGCCGAGGCAATGTTCGTGGCGAGGGAGGAGCTCTGAGTGGGTGGCGCCAAGCTCTGACAGCCACGGGATTTTCCCGGTGCTACAAATAGCTCCGGTTGGGCCACTCGTATTGGCGCTGGTGTTCGGTATTTCCACTATTGCACAGGCAGTAAAATGAAAGTACTGGCGGAATCCGACACTCGCGGACAACGAGCAACAGGCAGCCGGCGAGAGAGCACGGAGGAGACCCCTATCAGAGGTGCGTGTGTACAGGTGTGTACAGGTGTGTACAGGTGTGTCGATTCGGGCTTAATGGAGTACCTGGTGCGGTGTATAAAACACGTGCACTGGGAAGACAAAGGCCGTCTGCCAGGCATGGTGCCTGCCACACCACTCGTGTGCCGTGCCGGCCTTCATAGGTGCTCGCTTACAGCACTTTCCCCAACAGTCTGGCAAGGCTATATGGGGGATCTTTGTCTTTGTATCCCGTGATCTGTCTGCGAACCTTTCTCACACCATCTTCGAGACCTCGACGTGCACCTAGCCTGGCATCAGAGCCGTGGTGACATCACCGCCGCTTAGTGGTGAACGCCGGTTGTTGTATTTTGGAGGAAGATGGGGTTAGGTGCCAATGTGTGGGGGTGTTGGTGAATGTGTGGGGGTGTGTTGGTGAAGGCGCTTGTGTGTGTGTGAAGGCGCTTGTGTGTGTGTGTAGGGGAGTGGTGGCGCAGTGGTTAGAACACTCGCAGTACGAAGCTGGCGGCCCAAGTTCAATTTGCGAGCCGCTCCGAACGTCGGTGGCGAGAGATTTCTGAACTGGTTCTGGGTCTCCGCGACCCCAAATTGGTCCGTAATTGATACCTGAACATCGGCATTGGAGAGACAAACGTGGGCTGTTGTGCTGTTGCCCACACTACCCTCGTTAATTTACCTTGCCCGCCTAATAGGTGCTCCAGAAATGGAATATATAATAAGGCTAAACGGGCAGTTGTGTAGGGTTGTTAGGATATTTATTTTATTACTACCAGAAATGGCATCGAAAGACCAGGTTTCCGGTTTGCCGTACGTACAGAAGTGTCAGCAATAATCAACAATATAATTTGAGATTTAACTTTCTTGAACTGGCATCTGGTGACGTGGTCTGCGCACTGCGGCTTGCGATCCAGAGGTCGCCGGTTTGATTCCATCTCCCTGTACGGCGGTGCCTGTCCCCCCCCCCCCTCCCGAGCGGTGTAAATTAGTGAACCACAGTCGGTTGCTCCACAAATCGCCACGGTGGCGAGATGTTAACTACCTCGCCTGGTACGCAGGAGGTCGTGAGTTTGATCCCGACCCTGAAAGCCTGCTGTATGTTTGGAGTTTGCGTGTCTCTCTCCCCGTGGATTTGTCTCTGGGTCCTCCAGTTTTTCCCTCCACATTTAGAATAAACACGCGCTTCAGAATATCTTTGCCGCTCTTCATTTCCACACGTTGATGAGCCACTCCGTTGAGCTGTCACTTGTTATAGCCAGGTCGCTTCTGAAAAAAGAACTACACTTAGCTCAGTAGGGCCATACCTGGTCAAATAAAAAACAGATTTGAGTTTAGTCTTAGGTCACGGCGTGTGGCGGCGCAGTGAGGTTCGGCTATTTAGGCGTTCTTGGTGTCTGCGGATGTGTGGACCAAATTCAGCAGCCTGCAAGTGTCAGAGCCCCCTCCTGGCAGCAGTGGCGGTGAGCGAGCAATTGCAGGGCTGCACCCTTTAACACCCCTCCTCCTCCGCTGAGAAACGAGCACGGAATTTGCCGTGCGGGGGCGACTCGGCTCTGTCTCCCACCACCTGAGCGCAGCTGAACAACTCTGGGGCCTCTCCTCTGTTGGTTGGGGACGGGAATGATGAGTGTGTCACATGGGGTGGTCCGGGTCGATTTTCAACACTAGGGAGACAAAGGTGGCCCAGCCATGTGTGCTGCTGCTGTTCATCGTGTCGCCTTGTGTGTGTTTTCATAACCTTAATAGCTGCTCCAGAACAGCCCTTACCTTAGCCATTATAAACCATAAATCTTTGTGTAAGTACCATGCACTTTGTGTGTTTGTGTGTGCAGTGGGAGTGTAGTGGTTAGTACACTGCGCTACGAACCCAGTGGCCTGGGTTAGATTCCTGCTCACGGCCACCAACACCGGTGACGATTGTCTGAACCGCTCCCAGGCCTCCCCTACCTAGGTCCACTCAGCCTCAGATGAGCACTTGGTACGGTGTGTTAGCAGCGCCACTGGGAGATGAAAGAGTCCGGGTGTGGAGCTGACCACCCACCCCCTCGTGTGCCGTGCCGGCCGTCATAGGTGCTCGCTAAAAGCACTTGCTTTTAGCTATACGGGGGATCTTTGTCTCTGTATAAGTTGTAAATGTTTGTGGGTTTTGCCCGCTTTTATCAGCTTTCGCATCACACTCCAATGGACTTGGTTCACCGATTATGACGCTGGTATATTTGAAGTGTTTTAGTAGCAATGTTAGATCTGTGTAGTCCGGCCCCGTCTCGTGAGTCGATTTGGGAAAAGACAAAGTTGAGCATTGCGAGGGAATTGTTGAGTCCCGTTCCACGTGGCTTTCTTCACCTCGGCGGGTGGGGGCGGGGTCAGGGGCGGGGTCAGGGGCGGGTTCTGCCAACGCGTAACGGTTTTGGCTGATAATTGTTTTTCTATCTGGCAACAAAACTGACACTTTTTTTACAAGGAGTCATGTTTGCATAGACCACAATACCTGCAGTCATAATGCAAACAAAAAACATAACTCTGATAATGTGCATTGTCCTTGAAGTTGATTGGTCTACACCCGAGACAGCTTTCCTTAGAGCCTAGTCTCACATGGTGTTGGACCAGATGACGCCAAAAGGCGCACAACTCAAAGACAATACACCATCAGAGCATGAGAGCTCGGGGTAAGCATTTACACCATTGGAACCTCATTTGCCAAACCAATTATCATATTTTTTACTGGCAAATGAGGTTCCAATGGTGGTTTTGGCTGAGCCGAGTACTACATCTCCATCTGTTCATGGGCGCCACGGTGGCTAGGAGATGTTAACTACCTCGCCTGGTACACAGGAGGTCGTGGGTTCGATCCCGACCCTGCTGCTGTATATTTGGAGTTTGCGTGTCTCTCTCTCATTATCATCACGGTGGCTAGGAGATGTTAACTACCTCGCCTGGTATACAGGAGGTCGTGGGTTCGATCCCGACCCTGACGCCTGCTGCTGTATATTTGGAGTTTGTGTGTTCTCCCTCTCATCATCATCACGGTGGCTAAGAGATGTTAACTACCTCGCCAGGTATACAGGAGGAGCGTGGGTTCAACCCCCGAGCCTGACGCCCATTGTATATTTGGAGTTCCCGTGTTCTCTCTCCCCCTGGTCGCGTGGATTTTTGTCCGGGTCCTCCGGTTTTACCCTCCACATTTAGAATTAACGTGTGTTTAGAGTATTTGGCTTCTAAACATTTCCACGTGATGAGCCACTTCGTTGAGCTTTCATTTGTGGCCATGTCGCTTCTGCACAAGAGCTACGTGGCTCAGTGGGTCTTGCCTGGTAGAATAAATAATTGTTTATAGTTTAGTTTCTAGTTTTGTCCGTTTATGCCTTTTTTTTGGTGCGTTCGCCCAGGGCCTCGCGGTCTCATCGTAGCTCCCGAAGCACGGCTCCGTGGCTTTCGCGTCGCGTCGCAGACGTTCGCGCACGTGAACCTGGATATCGCGGCTGGGGCTCGAGCCAAACACACCGACGCCACCGTTGATACGGACTCGAATGCCACCCGCGAATTGCACACTCAGCCCCTCGGTCGCGATCGCGTAACTCCTCTCCGCGAAGCAAAGACGACAAGGGTTGCTTCTTCTTCATGCTTCAAGAGCCCAAAGGCGTTAACGGCACATGGTGCGAAAGCGGTGATTGCACAACGCGGCCCCAATTTCAGAGGCAGACATGCACTGCCAGGACGGTCGACGGTTGCCTGGGCGTGCAGCATTCGGCATCCGTCGACAGGGAGACGGCCGGTTCTCCTGGACCACTGGGAACATGCAGCTGTAGCCCAGTGGGTCCTGTGTGTACGCACCGTACGTAGGTGGACCGTGCTAATCGGAAGGACAAGAAACTAAACACAGAAAGCAGTTCTAAAGAAATTAGTTGTCAATGTAGATGATTTAAAAATCCCTAGCTCCTGGCAGCTTTCTAATATCGGACAGGAAGAACGTTCCAGACGGCCGCAAAAGCGCACGATGCGGTGTGTGAGTCCGTGTGTCTCCTGTGATGAGTTTTTGGCTTTTTGTACGAGTCTATGGGTCTCTATAAGTACGTATGTTGGGCTTCTTTCCGCACCGTACGTAGTCGACCGTGACAGTAAGAGCATTCCAGACAGCCGCAGAAGTGCATCTGAAAGGGCGTGATGCGGTGACAGTCCCGTGGGGAGTTTGGCAGGGTCACATCCTGGATATCGCATGCCGACCTCAATACGCCGGCTCAGTAGCAACCAACCTATCAAGGGCTCGCCATCGGAAGAAATGGCATAGGCCGTGAACGTGACTGGGGATGGTTTTTCAAACGTGATGGAAATCTTTGTTGCTAAACGTAAGCAACCCTGTGAAGCATATCAAGCACCTAATACTTATGCAAGTGAATAATGCATTAATTAGGATACGTTTTATCTTACTCTAAATGCTTTGAAATGAAATAAATAAATATCAGAAAGTGCCATGCTGTGTGTGGTGTGTGCAGCACACTCCACCTGTGGTGGTTATGTCGAGTGCTCAACAGCCTTGGCGATCCCGGCATGTTTGACGCCATCCATGAAGTCGATTGCACCCGGTACACGCAGTCGAGTGTGCGGTACACTGTACTGTATGCGTTGAGCATGACACAGAGAGACAAACTGCATGGCAAATCATTGTGCGAGAGCCAATACTGGTCCCGTTGTCTCAGCTATGCGGGAGACTGGCCAGAATTATTTTATTATTGGACGAACATCAGTCTAGAAAAATGTGGCATCTATCGAGCCGGGGTCTGTCAAGGTTAGGGTTTTTCTTACTGTCAACTTAAATATTGTTTAGTCTTCTGCCATATTGGCCTTCTAGGCTCGTGTTTTAACTAGAAGGCATTTGTTGACGCAGGCTAACGCTGGACTGGTTTTTGACCTTGTGGTGCTTGTCGGCAGAGTCTGCAAAAAACAATCGAGAGTTTTGTGTTGGAATAGACGCTCGTAGGCCTGGTAGACTAAAACAATGTATCTTAAGTAAATGTGTAGCTTTGGAAAGAGAGCTTATATTCATTTCACATGTTACTTTATAAGCAGTCTCATGGTGATGCTACTCACGCAGGGTGGTGCGCCGCTAGCTGCGAGAATTCTGAATGGAGATGTTTTGTTCGTTTCGTCTCGTGACAAGTACGGCACAATTAGAAATATAAACAGCAACATTTTACAGAAGTTACATCTGTACTTGAATGAATGATCTGGCTTTCTCCACCGTGCACACGCGGCCCCACCGGCCACTATAAGGGCAGTCTCCTCTCTTGCACACGCAGCCTTGCCGGCCACTGTGAGGGCAGCTTCATCTCTTGCACACGCGGCCGCACCAGCCACGTTCCTCTGTTCACCAAGCGTCGTCGTCGTTGTGTTGTGCAGTGGACACGCCGGCGGCTCTGAGCCCGCATGGCTGCACTGCTGCCAGGAGTCGGGCCTTCAAGCCAGGCCTCGTCACTGCACACAACACTCATTAAGGACGGCGCCCCGGCCTCCTACCTCCCAGCCAGGTGAGCGGCCACGTCACCTCTCGCTCCTCTCGCTCCAAGCGTCTCGCACCTCACCCCGCTCACCACTCAACCCTCTCCCCTCTCAACCCTCTTCCCCCTCAACCTTCTCCCCTCGCAACCCTCACCTTATACCGCTTACCCCTCACCCCTCCCGCCTCACCCGACTCTCCTCTTAACCCTCTCAACCCTCACACGGCAACCCTCACCAACTCGCTGGTAGCGAGCAGGTTACGAAACCTCATTTTGCTTACTTTGTAGATTTTAGTGTGTGAGTGCTAACACGTCGAAAAGAATTTAAGACAAACACCTAAACATTTAATATTTTTGACGATAGAAGCCACTTAGACCAGGGTGGGGGGGGGGGGCCTTTCTTTCAGCAGCGGGAGTGACCCGTGGCCGATGACAAGTTATTGTATGTGTGGACACGTGTGGGGACGCGTGCGGGACGCGTGGGGACGTGTGGACACGTGTGGGGACGTGTGGACGCGTGCGGGGACGTGCGGGACGCGTGCGGGACGCGTGCGGGACGCGTGTGGGACGCGTGCGGGACGCGTGGGTGAAGCGTGGGGGACGCGTGGGGGACGCGTGGGGGACGCAGTGGGGGACGCGTGCTTGATGTGTGATGTGTGTGAACGCGTGCGTGACGTGTGTGGACGTGTGCAGCGTGGGAGGGGAGGCGCCCACGTGCGGCTACCGGGAGCACTTTGTGCAGCCGCCCGAGGACAAGTACCGCTGCGAGCTGTGCCGCCTGCCCCTGCGCGACCCCCGGCAGACCGAGTGCGGCCACCGCTTCTGCGAGCCCTGCATCCGGCCCGTGCTCAGGTGAGTGCTGGCGACCACGACGATGTCCATGTATGGTAGGCACATGTGTACGTTGAACTTATTTCGCACCGTACGTAGCCGACCGTGCTAATCGGAGGTGCTGGGGGAAGGACAACAAACTAAACGCAAAGCAGTTCTAAATAAATTCGTTTTCAATCGAGATGATTTTTAAGTGCACAGCTCCGGTGGCTTCTTAATATCAGATGGAAGAGCATTCCAGACGGCCGCAGAAGCGCATCTGAAAGCGTGCGAGTCCTTTGGTCTTTGTGTGATGAGTCTATGGGTCCCTCTGTATGTACGTATATGTTGAACTTCTTTCACACCATACGTAGCCAACCGTGCTAATCGGAGGTGCGGGGGAAGGACAACTAAATAAACACAATGACGGTGATTGCAAGGATTTATTTCAATTGGGTCTGTCCGGAAAATGTTGCCGCATCCGGCACACCACGTCCATCAAACCTCTCGAAGTCTCCGGGTCTGCCTGCGATCCAGAGAATATGCAATGAGAAGTGAAGCCCTGTGTGAGTGTATATGTGAAATTAATGGTGTTGTGTGAATGATCGGTAGTGTGAATGGTGGTCTGTGTATGTGTGTAATTGGTGATCTGTGTATGTGTGTGATTGGTGGGTCTGGCAAAAACAACCTCCTACCTCCTCGTGGTGCCGGACGGCAATGCTGTGGTGAGCAGTGCCGTAGGGGGAGGGCGAATTTAGATTGCCCATTCCCCTCATGGCATTTGTAACCACCACAGCGGCCAAATGGGAGCTCTGGATGGGTGCGAGGGGCTGGTAACCCCTTCAATGAATTGCCACTAAACCACGATTTAAAATGTAATTAAGCTTGTGCAGGAGGCCCCGGGGAGACAGGCGTCTATGACGTTTCCTGGCCAAACCCGATTTGGTGGAGCCAGGAAACTGAATCCTTACCTTCGGGGCTCCTCCATAAACAACAAAAAGCCACTTCGGATGGCCACGTGGAATGTTCGAACGCTCACTGCGGAGGAGAGGCTGCCACTTCTCTGTCGGGAGCTGGATCAGTACCGCCTGGATCTCTGGTATTCAGGAGGTCCGGTGGACCGGCGCTGGCTCCTGCCACCATGAGGGGTGGACAGTCCTCTACTCGGGGCAGGAGACTGCCAAACAACAGGGAGTGGCTCTTCTGAACAAAAGAATGAATGGGGTGTGGGAGCGTGGCGGTGAGGTGTGGGAAGCTGTAAGCCCCAGGCTACTTTGGGCTCGCCTTCCCATCAACCAGAGGCGAGGAGTGGTGGTCGTGGTTACTTATGCCCCCACCGAAGACAAACATCCGTGGAGGGATGCAGGCAAGGCCAATGAGTCAGATGCCTTCTATGACCTCCTGTCAAAGGTGCTGGCTAAAGTGGCCCCTCGGGATAGAGCCTGGCACAAGCGTCGTGGTGACGTCACCGCCACTTAGTGAGGAATGGCGGTTGTTGTTGTGATTGGTGGTCTGTGTGTGCGTGTGATTGGTGGTCTTTGTGTAAATGATCGGTGGTGTGTGTTCATTTTGCGTGGTGTGTGTTCGTTTGGGAGTGTGTATCAAGCGCCGTGTGTGCCTCCAGCTGCATGTGAGTGTGTACGCTCGTAGAGTGGTCACCGCCGCGACTTTAATGGTGCATGTTAAGCGGTGAGTGCTGTTCGCCGATTCATAAAAAAATGTTTGGAAACGACGTCTCGTTGACGCCACGACAGCGTGCCCCCCGTGACCGTAGCTGCTAAGTGCTGCACGTTGACCTTCGTGCGAGCTGCGTGCTGTGATTGGGCAACCCCTGACGTAAACTGACGTTGTGCATGGGGTTGTTTATTTCTCCACAGTAAAGCAACACCGGCATGCCCAGTAGACAATGAACTCCTTCAGCCGGACAAGGTGAGCACACTCGAGCACGTGCACACTCACGTTCACCTGCTCTCACTCCTTTTGAACACGTAGGCTCACACTTACTGATTCACACACACAAAGACAAATACCCACCCCGCCCCCGCCATGTAGCCTTAATGGACAATTGGGGAAAGTGCTGTTAACGAATGCAGTAGGGGGGGTGTGCATGATGATCCTCGCGCCTTTTTCTTCCCGGTGCTGATGTTTAAGCACTGCGCTAGTTACTGATTTGAGGCTGAAGTCCACCTAGAGGAGTTCCAGGACCAGTTCAGATATTTGCCACGAGCGTCTGCCATGGACAGGAATCGAATTCCGGATTTGGAGCACGGTGCACTAATGACCGTTACGCCATCACTAACACTTACACTCGCTCACAAAGAGGCTGTCGTACACCTGCCAAAGCTTCGACAAGTAACTGTTAGACGCGCGTTTTATCATACTTGTCACGAGCTGATTGTTGCGCGTGGCCTAGATGCTACGAGACGCTACAACAGTGCGCGGGTGACGTGGCCCAGCATTAGTGCGTTCGCCGCTTGGTACAAGCGTTCACGGTTTAGAATCTGTCAGGCCGCCCTGGTTAATGCTGCGTGTGTGTAATAACCGTAAAAGATCCTGCGAATTAATTTGAAATGAGCAGGCCATTATGTGCCAGTGTCACGGTCCATGCTTTTGGTCCGAAGTTGAAAGATTTCCTGCAATTAGTTCAATTGGGATTACGCACAGCAGCAGCAGCAGCAGCGTCGCCCCCTCTGCTGGGAAAACTGCTGCCGATTGCGTCTATGAAAACGGCTCCTCTGTGGCAGCTTTGCGCGCGTCAAGAATGGTGCGAAATTTCAAACGTACTCCATTATTATTGCACTTGTTATTGTTGCGTATGGCATGTGTGTATGGCGTACACTCTGCACGCTGAGCCGTGACCTAACGTGCGACGCAAACACACAGGTGTTCCGGGACAACTGCTGTCGCCGGGAAATCCTCGCCCTCCGCGTTCACTGCCGGAATGACACCGCCGGCTGCACGCAGATCGTTGAGCTCGGCAAACTACAGGTACGCGTTCACATGCGTCGTATGCGTGTGCTTGCTCATTCCTGTGTCCAAGCGCGTTAACGTGTGTGTGTGTGTGTGCTTGACTGCGGAGCAGTAGTGTTGCGGTTAGTATGCTGCGTACTACACACCTGGCGACCACAGTTCGATTCCCGCTCAAGGCCACCAACACCAGTGACGATTATCTGAACGGGTCCTGGGCCAGTACCTGGTGTGGTGTGTAAATTTTGGCACTGTGGAAACAACGGCGGCCGGGCATAGTGCTGGCCACCCATCCCCTCGCGTGCCGTGCCGGCCTTTTATAGGTGCTCGCAAACAGCACTGACCCCAACAGTCTGTTAAAGGCTTAACAGGGAATCTTTGTTTTCCTATGTATGTACGGAGGGCGGAGGAGTGACGCTAAAACATCGAGTAGAGCGCCAGGTGGCGGAGGCACAGCAGGTTTACGCAGTGTGGAGCACAGGTGGTACATCTGCCAGTCATATAAGTCAGTTAACCCATAACACGTGGATATGTCCTGTGATCTCATGCCAGCAAGGTGCACGTAACCTGGTATATGCGCTGTGGTGATGCCACCGCCACTTAATCGGAAACGGCGGTTGTTGCCGTTATCGTGGTTATCTCACTCAATCGATCAATTGGCTCACTGCTCTTCCAACACAGCAACCCGAATTCGATTCCCGCTCGCGGATAATACCGGGTGACGAATATCTGAACGGATCCTGGCCCTCCGCTTGGCCGACTCTGCTTGAAGTGAGGTCCTTGTGCAGTTGGTGTGAACATCGGCACTGTTGAGACGAAAGGCAGCCGGGCGAGTCTCTGGCCCCTCACGGATGCCTCACGGATGCTTCCCGCCGTCGTTCACAGGCGCTCGCTTACAGCCCTGAGCTCAACAGTCGGTGAAGGCTGTAGGAAGATCTTTGTGTTTATCTTCGCGTGCCTGTGCATGAACACGTGGGCGTGTGTGCGTGCGTACGCAGGAGCACATGGCGGTGTGCGCGCACGAGGCCGTGAACTGCCTGCACACCGGCTGCACGGAACGGCTGCTGCGGGGCGAGCTGGTGAACCACGTGGCCTCGGGATGTCACTTCCGTACCGAATCCTGCCGCTACTGTAATCAGCAGGTGCCCCTCGCCGAGAAGAGAGTACGTGCACGCACACACACACACTCACTCGCTCGCGGACGTACGCACGCACTCGTGCATGCATTCACGGGGATGACATCGACAACAACAACAACAGCAGCCACCATTCGCGCATATGTGGCGGTGACGGAACCACAGTGCTTGTGCGACAGGGGTACACAGGTACGCACAGGTGTGTGTAAATACACACAGCATAAATCAACACAAGGGGGGGTACACAGGGACATGCATGAGTATATACATGACAAAGACCCTTGACTTGTGGGGCAAGGGCTGTTAGCGAGCACCTATGAAGGCTGCCGCAGTATACGAGGGGGTGGATGGCCAGGTACTCATTTGAGGCTGAGTCGACCTACGGGAGGCCCAAAACCGGTTCAGATAATCGTCACCAGTATTGGCCGTGAGCAGGTGGGAGCGTTGTTCGGGAGTGCTGGATACCGCCGCGCTCGACCGCACCGCGGTGATGTGACAGAGTGACGGGGGGGGGGGGGGGGGACACGCGAAGACCAAGGTCTCTTGTTCACGCCGTGTTCTCTCTCCGTAGAAACACTACGAGACGCGCTGCCCCCGGTACCCCATCCCGTGCCCCAACAAGTGCGAGGAGCAGAGCATCGCGCGCGAGGAGGTGAGACTCTCGCAAGGCATGAGCCTCGTGTGGACACGCACGCACGCTCGCTTTTACACACACGTGGGTACAGTCGCTCACACGCACGCGCGCACACGCTCGCAACTACACGCACACAGGTACAATCGCTCACTCCCGCACACAGGTACGATCATTCACACACACGCTCACTTACACACACGCGGGTACGGTCGCTCACACGCACACGTGCTCGCACACACACGCACACAGGTACAATCGCTCACACGCAGGTGCAGCGGCTCCCTTACACACACGCAGGTACAATCACTCGCTTGCACACACGCACCCACCCACACACGCACATGTGCTCGCACGCACACAAGTACAATCGCTCACATCCACACACACAGGTACAATCGCTCACTCGCACACAGAAAAGACAAAGATTCCCCCCTCTCTGTTAGCGAGCACCGATGAAGGCTGGCACGGCAGACAACGAGGGGGTGGGTGACCAACACCACGCTGGCTGCCTTTGTTTCCCCAGTCTTGATGATTACACACTGCACCAGGTATTCATTTAATGCTGAGTCGACTTAGGCGATCCCCAGAACCGGTTCAGATATTCGCAACTGTTATTTGTCGTGAGTGGGAATCGAGCTCTGGTTGCTGGGTTCTTAGCATAGTGCGCTATGACCAGGCATTCACAATCGTATGAATACAAGTTGATCAAGATACAAAGACAAAGATCCCCCATATAGCCTAAATAGACTGTTGGGGCAAGTACTGTTAGCGAGCACCTATGAAGGCCGGCACGGTACATGAGGGGGTGGGTGACAGCACCACGCCCGACCGCCTTTGTTTCCCCAGTGGCATTGATTTTACACACTGCACCAGATACTCATTTGAGGTTGAGTCGACCTAGGGGAGGCCCAAGACCGGTTCAGATAATTGTTACTGGTGTTGGCCACGAGCGGGAATCAAACTTGGGTCGCCGGGTTCGTAAAGCAGCGCGCTAACCGCTACACTACCGCTCACACACCATATGCTCGCTCATCCACACACGGTCGTGTGTACTCGCTTACACTCGAAAGCACACTCGCTCGCACAAAGACAAATACACACTCGCTCGCACAAAGACAAATACACGCACGCTCGCACACACTGTTACAGTTTGGCACCACGACGGTTTGGAGGAATTTGTAAAAGAGTGCGTGCGTACGTCCGCTGCACAGGACACTGATGGGCAGAGCGTCGGGTGGCTAAACCGCAGTGAGTTGGCACAACGGGGAGTGCGGTTTGGTGCGTCTGGTGGTCACCCGTGTCAATTTAACCATTACCTCTGGCTCTGTCCATTGCTATTGCCAAGCCTGCCACCAGCGCTGTAGTGATGTCACTCTGCGTACTGGCAAATGGCAGCAACTCATGTTTGTGTGTTGTTTGTGTGTTTGTGTGCGCACGTTCTTCAGCTTGTGTCTCACTTGGGCATCTGTCCGTACAAGCAAGCGGAATGTTTCTTCAGTCAATTTGGTTGCAAATACAAGGTATGGCTTCTTACAAACATTGTTATCGTCACAAGTCATTTTCCATCCGCCACTGGGTGGAAGCTATCCCATACCATCCTTCACCTTCCTTCAATGCCACAATCCATTTCGCTCTCGCAGATGAACAGATGATATCGCTCCATCTCCGTGGTGGCGGTCCTTTCAGACACATCCTCTCCTGTAGCTGCCATTCTGTATCCATCGGCCATCTTCCAAGCTGCTGTAAATGTCCACGTAATAAGCCGCTTCGTTGAGCTGTCATTTGTGGCCAGTCGCTTCTGAAAAGAGCTACACAGCTCAGTGGGACTTACCTGGTAAAATAAAAAATAAATGTTGGTATTTTTTTGTTTACGTATGTTAAGCGTCGGTACGTTTCTTTAATTAAGCAAGGTCATAAGAACGTGTGACAACTGACGATGGGAGGGGATTCCAAAGTTGAGCCGTGCAGGAGAAACGAAAGCGCGGCGTTCTTGACCGCCCCGTATTGCCCACGAGCAATGGGCCCTCTCCCTCCTCCGCTGAGTGTCGTCCGTCGTGTCTCGCAGGGCACGCTCCAGGGCCTCAAGGAGCACGAGTCGGGCGCCACCCAACAGCACCTGTCCCTCGTGACGGCACGCAGCGCCAACCTGGAGCTCAAGGTACGGGTGCCTCCCTCTTTCTCATGTATGTGTGTTGTCTGCTGTACCGTATGTGGAACTTCTTTCGCACTGGACATAGCCAACCGTGCTAATGGGATGTGCGGGGGAAGGACAACAAACTAAACGCATGATGACGGTGGTGATAATGATGATGGTGGACAAGAAACTAAACACAAAATGCAGTTTTAAGGAAATTAGTTTTCGATTTAGATTATTTAAAAGTGCGCAGCTCCAGTGGAATTCCTAATATCAGATGGAAGAGCATTCCAGACGGCCGCAGAAAGCATGCGCGATGCAGTGTGTGAGTCCGTGGGTCACTGTGTGATGAGTTTATGGGTTTCTGTGTGAGTCTATGGGTCTCTCTGGGTGTACGTATGTTGAACTTCTTTCGCACCATACGTAGCCAATCTAGATTATTTAAAAGTGCAAACCTCCAGTGGCATTGCGCTTTTATAGTTTAAACATGGGTCTGGAAGTTGAGAAATCCCATGAGGTTACGTGCTGATGATGATGATGATCCCCCGGGGAAGTCCGATTTAATCAGTTGACACCTTCCGCCCACCTCCCTGCACCTCCTCCCCACTCTCCCCCCCACCGCGTGTCCCTCCGTGCATCTCCTCGTCCTCCTCCTCGCCAGGTGTCCATGCTGCAGTCTCAGCTGGCGGAGAGGGCCAACAGTGCGGATATTCTGGGGACTCGTGTGCGGGAGCTGGAGAAGGAGCTCATCTCCGTGGGGCAGACGGCCAGCAAGAACGAGTCGCGCCTCGGGCACACGCAGGTGAGCGGGCGTGTACGCAAAACGCGTGTGTGCAGGTGAGTGGGCGTGTACACATAACGTGTGTGCGCAAGCTCGTTTTGTGCGTGGAGAGAATGGCGTCGCAGGGGTGGTCGCCCTCCAACAACAACAACAACAGAGGGCGGAGGAGTGACGCTCGCAGCAACGTCGCTCAAACAGCCGATGAGAAACGACGGGGGGCTGAAACACGACTTGAAAACCCAGAATCTCAGCGGTTCCAGCTCCGTGGCTATTTACCCACGAGCCACCCACCCCGCCAACTCCCGAGACTCGTACTTGAAATAAATGACGCCTTCCCTCCACAATGCCCACACACTGCCCTGCGAAAAAGCTGGTGACCCCCCCCCCCCCCATGAGTTTCCCCTGCATTTGACCTCAACGTTTGGCAGGCAGGCATGTGACGTTCGTTCCTCAACCTCCCCCCCCATCCCTTCGTGCTGTGGCGTGCAGCGCATGCTAGCCGTGCAGACGGAGCGGCTGCTGCGCCTGCAGGAGTCGATGCAGGGCACGACGCGGCGCGCCGACCACGACGCCCTGCGCGGCGACCTCGACGGCACCGCGGCCACGCTGCACGAGCTGGGCACGCGCGTAGCCGCCATCGAGGAGACGGGGGGCAGCGTCACGCACTCGTCCACGCCCACGCGTCTCGGTGAGGGCGGCACCACCCACTCAGCCACTCGCCACTCCCCTCACCACTACCCTCACCCACTCACCACTACCCTCACCACTACCCTCACCCACTCACCACTACCCTCACCCACTCACCACTACCCTCACCACTACCCTCACCTACTCACCACTACCCTCACCCACTCACCACTACCCTCACCACTACCCTCACCCACTCACCACTACCCTCACCCACTCACCACTACCCTCACCCACACGCCACTACCTTCACCCACTCACCACTACCGTCACCTACTCACCACTACCAACGGTATCGAGAGACATATTTGAACGGAACACTGTGCGTAGGTAACAAGTGAAATCATAATCCACGTGTCTGTCCACTGCATATATGTACATTTTTGCGTGTAACTTACCGTGGAACCCCTCGTGCGCGCGCGCGCGTGTGTGTGTCTGCCGGTATTATGGTCACTCAACGCCGCGCTCCCTCGCCGCTGCCACCACCACGACGCAGCCGCCCTGGACTCGGCGCTGAGCCGCCACGATACGCAGCTGTTCGCGCACGACACTCGCCTCGCCGAGATGGACCTGCGCTTCCAGGTGCTCGAGACGGCGAGCTACAACGGCAAGCTGGTGTGGAAGATCCGCGACTACGCGCGGCGCAAGCAGGACGCGGTGAGCGGCCGCACGCTCTCGCTCTACAGCCAGCCCTTCTACACGTCGCCCTTCGGCTACCGCATGTGCGCCCGCGCCTACCTCAACGGGGACGGCGTGGGCCGCGGCACGCACCTGTCGCTCTTCTTCGTGGTGATGCGCGGCGAGTACGACGCGCTGCTGCCGTGGCCGTTCCGCCAGCGCGTCACGCTCACGCTGCTCGACCAGGGCGCGGCGAGGCGCCAGCTGTCCGACACGTTCAAGCCGGACCCGGCGAGCAGCAGCTTCCGGCGGCCGACGTCCGACATGAACATCGCGTCGGGCTGCCCGCTGTTCGTGTCGCACGTCGCCCTGGAGAGCGCCTCCTACCTGCAGGACGACACCATCTTCATCAAGGTGGTGGTGGACACGAGCGAACTCGGGGACCCCTAGGCGGGGGAGGCCTGTGGGGGGCTGGGGGCGGTTGGGAAGCCCCCCCCCCCCTTCTCTCCCCACCACCGAAGAGCTTGCGCTTCACGTGGGGTCGCACGGCACCACGGAGACGGGGACGTCCCACCAGCCTGTGGGGTGTGAACGATTTTCACGAAGTCGTAGGCTGGTGCTTTAGACAGTGGGCCTCCTCCAGAGAAGAGAGATTTGATTTGTAGTTGAGAGATTGAGGTTACTACAGCTGCTGTGGTGGGGCCTTGAGAAAACTGTAAAAATTCTGAGAAAGTTGAATTGACGATGAGCAGATTTACATTCAGGAAAACGAAGGTGTGTTCAATCCTGATGGAGAGAAAACATCAGCCAAATATAAATGTTTTTCCCTGGGGCCGTGCACTACTACCCACATAGCCGCTTGACGTTGAGTTCATCTGACAAACGATTCGCGTGAAATGAGACTAAAGTTAATAATGTCATCTCAAAACGTTGTAGATTTAAAACTCACCTCTAGGAAACAGGCGAATTTTTTTTTCTTTTTTTATTCGCTCATGTGAACAAGGGCGAGTGAGTGACCTTGCGACCCAGGTAGCCCTGTGGGGGGGTCACAGTGCACGAATTGCAATTAAAAGGTTATTAGTTCAAACCCACGGCCAGGGTCCACCCAGTAATTATTTCCTGCAAGGTAGATAAAAATAGGTACCGCTTTGTAGGAAAGAGGACGTTTATTTACCCTTTGCGTTAACTTGCTCCTTCGGCAACGATATTGAAGCTACACCACTGGCTGAGGGATATAAAATGAGATGAGCCATACCTCGTTCTTGCTTCAACTGGACACAACTTTGACCGTTTCCAAGTCCCCTCGAAGTGCAATACATCGATCTTACAAGACTTAAAATTCCCTCCCGGAAGACCCTTTTTTGTCTCGCTCCTAAAACCGCTTGCTCACAGCTCAAGTCGCTTCATCGTCACTCGAAAAACGTTTTTCCCCTGGAGTGATTCTCTCTGTCTGTGGAGGAGACACGTGGAAGACAATGAGAGCCAGGTCCGGTCAGTGTGTGTGGGTTTTCTACAGAATGATCCAGGTTTCTCCATGATTTTTCTCCAGATTTCTATGAAATTTGTCAGATTTTTTGCTTTTTTTTCATTATTAACACTCAAAACGAGATGATTTCAACACCCGTAAAACGTATTTTATTGCTATGCAATTTTGTAAACATTCACCCGTTGTTGCAGCTCCACTCGCTATATGTGTAACTTCATTCATCACTTCTTGTCTGCAGCCCCGTTGGACACGGCTGTTGAGGTGGCTTCGTGCTGTAGACACGGTCCAATTTGACACGTAGGCTTTCGCGACCAATACCATCCATAATACAGGTTTTTTTCGGTTAGATGTGATCCCATCTACCCATCTATTTAAGGAACGAAACAGGAGGTCTTCTCCACAAATCTGGCTGTCGCCTGGTGAAACTAGTTGTTATTAATGTGCAAAATGTCATAGTCGGATTGTAAATGGTGTGGCTTTGCACAACACACCGGTGTGCTGTACTAGTAACGAATTGGCACGTTCTGTTTACATGACAAACCTTACTAGTTGGCTGTATTAGGTGGTGGCGGGTTTAACGACACTTTTATATATTTACGCGATCTAATCCCAAAAAAACTCTTATGGATGGTCCAATTTCACTCTCGTAATCGGGCACCTGTGCCCCTCTGGCCCTGTGTAGTTGCACTGCCTCTACGCCCAACAGCTACGCCACTCACCCCGCCGTCGCATCCCCCCCCCCTCTTCTTGACCAACCTAACCCAGCTGCAAACTCAGCTGCTCTCTAACCCTGCTCAGCTGTTGCCAGCGAGCGTCGCAATCAGGTCACACGTTTAAATGCCGGCTGGGCGTCAGTGCGTCGTCCGTTCACGATAAAAACTGAAACACCCCCCCCCCCCTCACTTCACGGGGAAGAGTCAATAGCAACGTTTGTACGGAGAGACTTGCCCCGTCATAAGAATGTGGAAGTTTTACGGAAAACAGCGGCTCGCGGCTGCCAAGGGTGATGAATGTCGCCAGAGGCCCGTTTTGAGCCAACACTTGAACATTTTATTCCATTCAGGGAATGGACGTTGTGGTGTAAATAGTTTGTGTTTGGGTGTTCTTATTCCAGCCTTCAAATGGCTCGTTTTTTTCCGACAAAAGCTATGGGTCTTGACATGACATTTGTTTTATAAGGTGGTAGTGGTGGTGATGATGATGATGACGTCTTCACGGCATGTTGCGGTTATTCGTGCAATGCTGCGTGACGTTGTGTTTGAACCGGCTACTGCTCGACTAGGAGGTGAACAATTGTTATCTCTTGGTGACCCAGATGCTCTTGATGGTTTTTTTTTACACAGATATAAATAAATATAAGTAATTTTTATACTTTTTTCCGTACGTTATTGCGACCTTTAATGATCTTGAAAATATTTTGTAATAAGTTGTATTTATTTAATTGTAACTGTGTACATTTGTCTACATTTGTGCTTGTTTCACCGACGATATCACGAATTATCTTACAGACACAGAAAAGCATTCTTATTTCCAGATCTCCCTCCAAAGGAGCGAGAAGCTTATGTCGATGCAGGGAGTGACCGGAAGAGAAACTGCGGGCGTTCATCGGGCATCCATCAACGGTGTATCTTACCCCAAACCATGAGCACTATGTTGCACTTTGCTTCGCTGCGAGAGTGGGACGGTTGTTCGCTCGGCACCATTCTGCCGAAGAAAGTGGTCGGTAAATGGGCTTCGCTGAATTGACTGTTGTATTAGGGTCGACTCAGCCCATCATTCCCTTCAGGGTTGATATAAAAAAACAGTCCCAATTTATTGACAGTTTCCAAGAGTAGTTTTCCTGTGGATGACTTTACTTCCCGCAGAATACACTGTAACCTTCGACTTGATGTTGGTCACTCGAGTGAGACCGGACAATTGAAACTGGGCGCTCTTTCTGAAACCCTGATGTCACGGTTCGTTGTATTTTCGAACAGTCAACGTTCGGCATCGGCTTGTCGGCCACAGCATCACAAAGTCTCTACACGTGTAACCACCAATCTCTACCTCTCGTCTACGGGTCTCGTATCTCTCTCTTGTTTATCTAATTTCTCTATCGCCAATCTTCTTGTCTTACCTACAGCTGTGTCATCTGTATCTATTGTTAATATCTCATCTCACCCATCTTTAGATCTGTGTCTCGGCGAACCGTATAGCACAGCGGGCCACTTGCAAGGTCCTAATTGTGAGCCTGATGTGGCCCGGTGAAAGTACCCTGCCTCATATCACTGGCTTCAGCTCCCAGCTAATGTCATTGTACAAGAGGCTTACTGGCCAGGCCTTCTGTCTTGGGTGACTAGTGAGTATGTGGAGGGGGAGAATGTGGTATTTCGCACGGCGCACTGACATTACCAACGTGTCTCTCACTGGTTATCAGCGAACTCTTGTCTGTCGGCTTCAGTGTGTTTGTGTCATTTAAGCCCAGAGGAAGCGGAGGAGGGTTGGTCCTGTAAATGTATGACTTTATTTATCAATCCGGTTTTAAGGTTTGTTTTGGTTAATTAATTTGTTTTTAATTGGTCGATGAAAGGAAACCGTCACGGCCGCAACGTGTGGAGCAGGAGTGTCACATATTGAACACGCGGCAGCTATTTATGGGATGGGGACTTGTGCAGAATTGTCTCCGATATTAAAGTAGGGTAACTTAAAATACAACCGCTACAAGTGACTATTAAAACGATGGTGTTTTACATCTGTTTGCAATGTGTGCATGTGTGTTGCATAACGTTTACAGTTACACATTTAACTTGCAGCTCGTCGTCGTGAGAATTTACAAGAAATGCATTAATCACTGACTGTTGACAATAAAATCTACGTGTAGTTTGTTTGTCCGGGAAAGCCTTCCTGAGTCTCAAGATTGCTTTTCTCATCGGGGTCCTGCATTGGTACGTTTGGCCAATTTTCGAATTACACGAGCGATCGTTTACGCACGTCGGAAGAAAGCGAAAGTACCTTTCAGAACAACCCCCCCATGCACGTTGAAGGTGATGACATTTTGAAGCTCCACAGACGATTTCACAGACCAACTTTAGTAGTACTTTACTGCCGTATAACAGCCAACTTGATTGGGAGTTTCACCAACTCCCTGTGATCCAAAATCGCTGGACCATAAGCGTGCACCACCACACCCGATTGGAAATTTAAACAGATGAACTCGTTCTCATTATGATAGCCTCCCTTGCATGCCTGTTGTCCAGCAGTTTGGTGGTCGTGGTTTGGTGGATTACACATGGATGGGGGGTAACAATGGCCATGTCAGAGAGACTAACTTGTGAGCTGATACCACTCAGACCTGAGTTTGAATCAGGATTAAACTGGGTCCCCAAGTGGAAGTATTCGATGATCACAGCCTGCTCAGCCATCGGTGAATAAACACACAACAACTTAACATTGCCTTGTCATTTAATTCGGCATAACCCGGATATGTTATTCTAAATAATCGATATCCTGTGCAACATCGGTGTCCGGGCATATGCAGTAGAGGAAGGCCACCTCGTGCAGATGAGAGCCCTGCTGAACTGAAATAAAATAGACATACGGCCAACCCGACAAAGGGAATCGACAAAATATCCGAAAAGGACCCTCTGGGAATTGAGACCTGAATAAATAATTACGTAGCCAATTACATAACCTAACACGCTACACACATGGCAGATTAACCCCTGCACATCAGCCGTGGGCTTTAATTGCAGGTATTTTTCAAGGTCGACCTGCTTTTTTTTGGCTTTTAGTAATTTAAAAAGAATATTAGATCACTGGCATTTGATTGGAGGGGTGGAAAATACAAATACATTTGTTAGCAAAAATGTGGCTTTAAAAGGAAAAATATACAACAGCCGTGTTGGCAACGCCCCTTGTATGTTGAACTTCTTTTGCACCATACGTGGCCAACCGTGCTAATCGGAGGTGCAGGGGGAATGGCAACAAACGAAACACAAAAAGCAGTTCTATAGAAATGAGTTTTCAATCTAAATTTGAAAGTGCATCACATTTCATTGAGGATGATGTCCTATGAAGGACCATTGCCTGAAACGTCTTATTCCCCTTTTAAGGCAACGTTATTGACGAACGAGGTTTTTTTTAGTTCAGAATCAAGGCGCAGCCCTGCAATTTCTCACCGCCACTGCTCTGCAGGAACCGCCCTCCTCCACCAGAGACCCCTGGAGATCTCCCCTCTGCTCGAGCGCAGTGCTCTTCACTCATTTCCAGAGGGAGAAGGGCGGTCACTTTCATCCGTGTGAGTGAGGGCCGCCACACATTTGACACCAGTGAGGGTGTTGACAGCAGCAGCATGATGACGATGGGGCGGTGTTTTCACTCTGTGTGTAGTGTCAGGGGCCGCGCTAAAGGCCACCAGGGGTCGCCAGGGGCCCACGGGCCTTGCGATGAAGAACGCCGCTCTCGAGGGTATTTTGTTACCGCTTCTCGTACTTATATAGCGCCTTACTCCAGGTCTCTTAGCAGCAGTTATAAAACTGTGCATACGGTAATAGTGGTCGAGATAGAGTGGGGTGGGGTTCTTATTAAAGGTGGTGGTGGTGGAGTTTTGGTGACAGGAGAAGAGTTGGAGGAGGGGTTGGGGGATGGTTGTAGCTGTGGAGTTTGGGGGGGGGGGTCGAGCCAGATCCAGTGTCTTGGAAGAGGTGGAATTGCCCAAACTTTGCCCCACTCGGCGGCGTCGTCACCACCACATTACCAGTGACGGAACAACAACATGAATCGATCAGGTGGAGCCCCCAATGTTTGATTTGCCTCGCACGGTCGCACCCTACAGGCTGTGATACTGGTAGGAACCACCTGGTTCCACCAGCCCACAGGGGATTATTGTGTCCGTCCGTCGTGCAGGGAGGGGCTGGGTGGGGAAGGGCTGGGTGGGGAGGGGGTGGGGCTGGGTGGGGCTGGGAGGGGAGGGTGGGGCTGGGTGGGGAGGGGTTGGTCACCCCATGGTGCCCTTATAAAACTCAACGTTTAACCTACTCACGCCGGCTTGTGCCCGCCCTCACAGTCGGGCATATTTGCGGAATACACCACGCCGCCGTTGACCCTGCAGGCCATTGACCGAGCAACCCAACCTTCCTACCAGCTCCCTCCGCAGGAATGTGTTTTATCCCGGCCTCCTCGTGCCCAATCCACATCGTCGTTACGCTCACGGTCTCAAACATTTAACGCTGTAGGGGGCGCTCCGTCTTTGCAAAATGCAGCAACTTTACAGCTCCGTTGTAAAAGTGCCTCTTTCAAATGTTAAGATACTGCTCTCATACCTGTCAACCCCTTATCAGTGCCCTACCTTATTACAGACCAATTCAGACCTTATTGGTCACCCTGTGCCATTATTAATGTCAACGTTCAACCCACAATCCCATCACTAGGGAGAAACACAAATAGACACTTTTTCCCCCCCCGTATTGAAACGGCTGTACACCGTATGGACATGAAAACTCAATTTCAAGGGGGCCCCCAACTCGTAGCTTTGACCTCCATGGGGGGGGGGGGGAGAGTGGGGGGGGGGGGGTCAAGGCACCGTCTGCCTCCCCCCCCACGCGAGTTTCACTACTGACCCCACCACACAGCGGCATGCCCAGGGGTCGGCAACCTACACAACAACAGCCAAAGAGTCGCAATGGGGGCAGCCAAAGAGCCCTATGCGGCTCTGGAGCCGCAGGTTGCAGGAGGGTTGAGGAATGAGTTTCCTGTTGGTGTTCTACTTGCCGGCGACCACTGCTGACCACGGACACCACCACCGGCAGAGAAGCCATCAAGTTCGCCTTCATTGCTCGACGCCTTTCAAATATGTGCGGCAAACTGGTAACCGGTTTTCATTCGGTTAGCGTGAATGCAAGTATGGGTCTTCGAACCAGATGATGTCCTGTGTGTGTGTGGAGTGCCGTGCCGGCCTTCATAGGTGCTAGCCAGCAGGACTTGCCCCGACAGCCTGTTAAAACTTTACGGGGGACCTTTGTCTCTATGTGAGAGAGTGTGAGAAAGACGCTCTGTGTGAGAGTAGGCCTCGGCAAGGTAAGGTAATTTACCCTTTTTACCGGGTAAAAGGGTAAAGGTGTCGATATGCCAAGGGGTAAGGGTAAAAGGTAGGGTAAAGGTAGGCTCGTTGTTTTTACACTTTTACCTTACCTGCTAAAGGGTAGAAGGTAGGGTAGAGTGATTGTATTGTGGTAAGGTAAAAGGTAGGGTAAAGGTAGGCTCGTTGTTTTTACACTTTTACCTTACCTTGCCGAGGCCTATGGGAGAGAGAGGGATTGTGAGAGTATCTATGAGAGAGTTCCATTGAGAGAGTGTCTATGTGAGAGACAGTATGTGAGAGAGGGAGTGTGACCGGCAGTATCTATGTGTAGTGACTGACTTGGAGATGTAAGTCCTTGAAGGCAGTTCTTTCATTAAAGCCCACGAGCACACTTTGCACAATATACACCCTACACTGTTACACGCTCTCTGCTGTTACACAACACTGTCTCCCGCGTATACGCAACTCTACTCTGGTTGCTCGCCTACAACACAACGCTAGCCGCCTGACACTGACGGCGCTGAACTAAGACAGCCAACTACGTCTAGCAGCGCGATGTCACGTGGCAGAGACAGCGACGAAGGCGGCGAGACGAGGGCGACGATGGCGACGATCTTCAGCAGCAGCGGCGACGGTGATCCAACTCCAAACGACAGCCCCGAGGTCCCCTCCCGGGGCCCCTCTTATACTGGGGGGCGTGGCCTGGCCCCGTCCCCGGCCACGCCCCCCTTCTGGAACCTTCCAGTGGTTCTCGACGTGCCCCTCCCCCTCGATCCCCCTCGGGTCTGTCACGTGACCTGCTGCCAGCCAGAGCTGCTGCGAGCTGCAGGTCCCCGTCCCTGCCAGCAGCCAGCGCTGTGCTGCTTAGTGAGCAGTTCTATGTCACTACACTAGTGTCTATGTGACAGTGTGTGACAGTGAGAGAGTGTGAGAGTGTGACAGTGACAGAGAGAGAGAGGGAGTGTGACAGGGAGTGTGAGAGGGAGTGTTAGAGAGACTGAGAGAGGGAGTGTGTATATGAGAGAGTGTGACAGTGACAGTGAGAGAGGGAGTGTGAGAGAGAGTGTGAGTGAGAGAGTTTGTATGAGAGTGTGTATACTAGAGAGACAGTGTGTTAGAGAGAGTGAGAGAGAGTGTGATAGTGTGTGTGTGTTAGAGAGTGTGTATGAGAGAGAGAGAGAGACTGAGAGAGAGTGTGTGTACATGTGTGTGTATGTATGAGAGAGAGTGTGAGTACATGTGTGTGTGTATGAGAGAGAGTGTGTGTACATGTGTGTGTACATGTGTGTATGTATGAGAGAGAGTGTGAGTACATGTGTGTGTGTATGAGAGAGTGTGTGTACATGTGTGTGTGTATGAGAGAGAGAGAGAGTGTGTGTACATGTGTGTGTGTGTGTGTATGAGAGAGAGAGTGTGTGTGTACATGTGTGTGTGTATGAGAGAGAGAGAGTGTGTGTACATGTGTGTGTGTGTATGAGAGAGAGAGTGTGTGTGTACATGTGTGTGTGTATGAGAGAGAGAGTGTGTGTACACGTGTGTGTGTATGAGAGTGTGTGAGAGTGAGTGTGTGTACATGTGTGTGTGTGTATGAGTGTGTGTATGAGTGTGTGTATGAGTGTGTGTACACGTGTGTGTATGAGAGTGTGTGAGAGAGAGTGTGTGTACATGTGTGTGTGTATGAGAGAGAGTGTGTGTATGAGTGTGTGTACACGTGTGTGTATGAGAGTGTGTGAGAGAGAGTGTGTGTACATGTGTGTGTGTATGAGAGAGAGTGTGTGTATGAGTGTGTGTACACGTGTGTGTATGAGAGTGTGTGAGAGAGTGTGTGTGTACATGTGTGTGTGTATGAGAGAGAGAGAGTGTGTGTACATGTGTGTGTGTGTATGAGAGAGAGAGTGTGTGTGTACATGTGTGTGTGTATGAGAGAGAGAGTGTGTGTACACGTGTGTGTGTATGAGAGTGTGTGAGAGTGAGTGTGTGTACATGTGTGTGTGTGTATGAGTGTGTGTATGAGTGTGTGTATGAGTGTGTGTACACGTGTGTGTATGAGAGTGTGTGAGAGAGAGTGTGTGTACATGTGTGTGTGTATGAGAGAGAGTGTGTGTATGAGTGTGTGTACACATGTGTGTGTGTCAGAGAGGGAGAGGGCGGCTGCTGTAAATAGCCGCCTCCTCTCCGTGACTCACGCCACCCGCGGGGAGACGTGGGAGGGAGACACGCGGAGAGACATTCACTCTGAGACACACACACAGGGACAGACAGAGAGAGACACACACACAGAGACACGCGGAGAGACATTCACTCTGAGACACACACACAGAGACAGACAGAGAGAGACACACACAGAGACAGACAGAGAGAGACACACACACAGGGAGAGAGAGAGAGACACACACACACAGAGACATTCACTCTGAGACACACACACAGAGACAGACACTCTGAGACACACACACACAGACAGACACTCTGAGACACACACACAGACATTCACTCTGAGACACACACACAGAGACACGGGGACAGACATTCACTCTGAGACACACACACAGGGAGAGAGAGACACGGAGACAGACAGGGTGAGACACACACACAGGGAGAGAGAGACACGGAGACAGACAGGGTGAGACACACACACAGGGAGAGAGAGACACGGAGACAGACAGGGTGAGACACACACACAGGGAGAGAGAGACACGGAGACAGACAGGGTGAGACACACACACAGAGACAGACACTCTGAGACACACACACAGAGACATTCACTCTGAGACACACACACAGGGAGAGAGAGACACGGAGACAGACAGGGTGAGACACACACACAGAGACAGACACTCTGAGACACACACACAGAGACAGACAGAGAGAGACACACACAGAGACATTCACTCTGAGACACACACACAGAGACATTCACTCTGAGACACACACACAGAGACAGACACTCTGAGACACACACACAGAGACATTCACTCACAGAGAGACACGGAGACAGAGAGAGAGACAGACAGAGTGACACACGGTGTGTGTGTGTGTACATGAGACAGACAGAGACAGACAGGGAGACAGAGAGACAGAGTGACACACGGTGTGTGTGTGTGTGTACATGAGACATAGACAGACAGAGTGACACACGGTGTGTGTGTACATGAGACAGACAGACAGAGTGACACACGGTGTGTGTGTGTGTGTACATGAGACAGAGACAGACAGAGACAGAGTGACACACGGTGTGTGTGTGTACATGAGTCAGACAGGGAGACAGAGAGACAGACAGAGTGACACATGGTGTGTGTGTGTACATAAGACAGAGACAGACAGAGTGACACACGGTGTGTGTGTGTACATGAGACAGACAGACAGAGTGACACACGGTGTGTGTGTGTGTACATGAGACAGACAGAGTGACACACGGTGTGTGTGTGTGTGTACATGAGACAGACACAGAGACAGACAGACAGAGTGACACACGGTGTGTGTGTGTGTGTACATGAGACAGACAGAGTGACACACGGTGTGTGTGTGTACATGAGACAGACAGAGTGACACACGGTGTGTGTGTGTACATGAGACAGACAGAGTGACACACGGTGTGTGTGTGTACATGAGACAGACAGACGAGGCTCACAGACACGTCAGACAGCGGTGAGGGGTCACAGAGACGCCGCGGACAGTGAAGGAGACACGAGAGAGACACGAGGAGACACGAGAGAGACACGAGAGAGACACAGGGAGACAGGGAGACACGGGGGGCATTAGCCAAGAGGGACAACAGCAGCAGCAGTCCCCCTCGTCTCGGGGCATCCCCGTGGGAGAGACAAGAAGACAGGGACAAGACAAGGGAGACACGAGAAGGGAGACAAGAAGACAGGGACAAGACAAGGGAGACACGAGGAGACAAGACAAGGGAGACACGAGAGAGACGATGGCCGACGTGGAGGTGCATGTGGACAGCCTCATCTCCCGCCTGCTGGAGGGTACGAGGGGCCGTCACACACAGACACACAGACACACACACACACACAGACACACACAGACACACAGACACACACACAGACAGACACACACACAGACAGACACACAGAGACACAGTGACACACACACAGACACACACAGACACACACACAGACACACACACACAGAGACACACACACAGACACACACACAGACACACACACAGACACACAGACACACACAGACACACACACAGACACACACACACAGAGACACACACAGACACACACACAGAGACACACACAGACACACACACACAGACACACACACACAGAGACACACACAGACACACACACACAGAGACACACACAGACACACACAGAACACACACAGAGACACACACACAGAGATACACACACAGAGACACACACACAGAGACACACACACAGAGACACACACAGAGACACACACACAGAGACACACAGATACACAGTAACACACAGAGACACACATACACAGAGATACACACACAGAGACACACACACAGACACACAGATACACACACACACAGACACACACACACAGAGACACACACACAGAGACACACACACAGAGACACACACACAGAGACACACACAGAGACACACACACAGAGACACACAGATACACAGTAACACACAGAGACACACATACACAGAGATACACACACAGAGACACACACAGAGACACACACACAGACACACAGATACACACACACACAGACACACACACACAGAGACACACACACAGAGACACACACAGAGACACACATAGAGACACACACACAGAGACACACACAGTGACACACACACAGATACACAGTAACACACAGAGACACACACACACAGAGATACACACACAGAGACACACACAGAGACACACACACAGACACACAGATACACACACACACAGACACAACAGAGAGACAGACACAGAGACACAGACAGAGAGACAGAGACAGGGCGGCTGTGTGCATGGATGGCCGGGGCTGTCAGATGCGCTGTGTGTGATTACTGTGGTGGTTGTTGTTACCACCACCACTGTGGTATTGTTAGTGTGAATGTGTTACAGTGTTAGTGCTGCTGGTGTTACCACCACCACCACTGTGGTATTGTTAGTGTGAATGTGTTACAGTGTTAGTGCTGCTGCTGGTGTTACCACCACCACCACTGTGGTATTGTTAGTGTGAATGTGTTACAGTGTTAGTGCTGCTGGTGTTACCACCACCACCACTGTGGTATTGTTAGTGTGAATGTGTTACAGTGTTAGTGCTGCTGCTGGTGTTACCACCACCACCACCACTGTGGTATTGTTAGTGTGAATGTGTTACAGTGTTAGTGCTGCTGGTGTTACCACCACCACCACTGTGGTATTGTTAGTGTGAATGTGTTACAGTGTTAGTGCTGCTGGTGTTACCACCACCACCACTGTGGTATTGTTAGTGTGAATGTGTTACAGTGTTAGTGCTGCTGCTGGTGTTACCACCACCACCACCACTGTGGTATTGTTAGTGTGAATGTGTTACAGTGTTAGTGCTGCTGGTGTTACCACCACCACCACTGTGGTATTGTTAGTGTGAATGTGTTACAGTGTTAGTGCTGCTGGTGTTACCACCACCACCACTGTGGTATTGTTAGTGTGGATGTGTTACAGTGTTAGTGCTGTTGCTGGTGTTGTTGTTTATCCTGCTGCAGAGTGTGTTGTTCTTGTTGTTGTACATGAATGTGCTGTCCTGTGATAAAGTGCGTTATAGTTATATAGTCGGTGTGTGTGAGCGTGGTGCAATGTGCACTGCGTGTAATGTTGAGGTGTGTGTTGTGTGTGCTGTGTTGTCTGGTGTATTGTGTGTGCTGTGGTGTGTGTGTTGTGTGTGCTGTGTTGTGTTGTGCTGTGTGTGTTGTGTGTGCTGTGTGTTGTGTTGTGTGTGCTGTGTTGTGTGGTGTGTGCTGTGTTGTGTGTGCTGCGTGCTGTGTTGTGCTGTGTGTGTTGTGTGTGCTGTGTGTTGTGTTGTGTGTGCTGTGTTGTGTGGTGTGTGTTGTGTGTGTGGTGTATTGTGTGTGGGGTGTTGTGTGTGTTTGTGTGTGCTGTGTTGTGTGTGTTGTGTGTGCTGTGTTGTGTGTGCTGTATGTGTTTGTGTGTTGTGTGTGCTGTGTTGTGTGTGCTGTGTTGTGTGTGTTTGTGTGTGCTGTGCTGTGTTGTGTGTGTGTGTTGTGTGTGCTGTGTTGTGTGTGCTGTGTTGTGTGTGTTTGTGTGTGCTGTGTTGTGTGTGTGTTGTGTGTGCTGTGTTGTGTTGTGTGTGCTGTGTTGTGTTGTGTGGTGTGCTGTGTTGTGTGTGTTGTGTGTGTTGTGTGTGGTGTGTGTTGTGTTGTGTGGTGTGTGTTGTGTGTGCTGTGTTGTGCTGTGTTGTGTGTGTTGTGTTGTGTGTGCTGTGTTGTGTGTGCTGTGTTGTGTTGTGTGTGATGTGTTGTGTGTGCTGTGTTGTGTTGTGTGTGTGTTGTGTGTGTTGTGTGTGTGTTGTGCTGTGTTGTGTGTGCTGTGTTGTGTTGTGTGGTGTGTGTTGTGTGTGTTGTGTTGTGTGTGCTGTGTTGTGTGTGCTGTGTTGTGTTGTGTGGTGTGCTGTGTTGTGTGTGTTGTGTTGTGTGTGCTGTGTTGTGTGTGCTGTGTTGTGTGTGTTGTGTTGTGTGGTGTGCTGTGTGTGTGTGTTGTGTTGTGTGGTGTGCTGTGTTGTGTGTGCTGTGTTGTGTTGTGTGGTGTGCTGTGTTGTGTGTGTTGTGTTGTGTGTGCTGTGTTGTGTTGTGTGTGTTGTGTTGTGTGTGCTGTGTTGTGTGGTGTGCTGTGTTGTGTGTGTTGTGTTGTGTGTGCTGTGTTGTGTGTGCTGTGTTGTGTGTGTTGTGTGTGCTGTGTTGTGTGTGCTGTGTTGTGTGTGTTGTGTTGTGTGTGCTGTGTTGTGTGTGCTGTGTTGTGTGGTGTTGTGTGTGCTGTGTTGTGTGCTGTGTTGTGTGTGTTGTGTTGTGCGTGTTGTGTGGTGTGCTGTGTTGTGTGTGCTGTGTTGTGTGTGCTGTGTTGTGTGGTATTGTGTGTGCTGTGTTGTGTGTGTTGTGTGTGCTGTGTTGTGTGTGTTGTGTTGTGTGTGCTGTGTGTGTTGTGTTGTGTGTGCTGTGTTGTGTGTGCTGTGTTGTGTTGTGTGATGTGTTGTGTGTGTTGTGTTGTTTGTGTTGTTTGTGTTGTGGTGTGTTGTGGTGTGTGTTGTGTTGTGTGTGCTGTGTTGTTTGGTGTGTGTTGTGTGTGTTGTGTTGTGTGTGTTGTGTTGTGCTGTGTTGTGTTGTGTGTACTGTGTTGTGTGGTGTGTGTTGTGTTGTGTGTGCTGTGTTGTGTGTGCTGTGTTGTGTTGTGTTCTCTGTTGTGTTGTGTTGTGTGTGCTGTGTTGTGTTGTGTGGTGTGCTGTGTTGTGTGTGCTGTGTGTGCTGTGTTGTGTGTGCTGTGTTGTGTGTGTTGTGTTGTGTGGTGTGCTGTGTTGTGTGTGCTGTGTTGTGTTGTGTGGTGTGCTGTGTTGTGTGTGTTGTGTTGTGTGTGCTGTGTTGTGGTGTGTGCTGTGTTGTGTTGTGTGTGTTGTGTTGTGTGTGCTGTGTTGTGTGGTGTGCTGTGTTGTGTGTGTTGTGTTGTGTGTGCTGTGTGTGTGCTGTGTTGTGTTGTGTGTGCTGTGTTGTGTGTGCTTGTGTGTGCTGTGTTGTGTGTGCTGTGTTGTGTGGTGTTGTGTGTGCTGTGTTGTGTGGTGTGCTGTGTTGTGTGTGTTGTGTTGTGCGTGTTGTGTGGTGTGCTGTGTTGTGTGTGCTGTGTTGTGTGTGCTGTGTTGTGTGGTATTGTGTGCTGTGTTGTGTGTGTTGTGTGTGCTGTGTTGTGTGTGTGTGTTGTGTGTACTGTGTGTGTTGTGTTGTGTGTGCTGTGTTGTGTGTGCTGTGTTGTGTTGTGTGTGATGTGTTGTGTTGTGTGTGTTGTGTTGTGTGTGATGTGTTGTGTTGTGTGTTGTGTTGTTGTGTTGTGGTGTGTTGTGGTGTGTGTTGTGTTGTGTGTGCTGTGTTGTGTGTGCTGTGTTGTGTGTGTTGTGTTGTGTGTGCTGTGTGTGTTGTGTTGTGTGTGCTGTGTTGTGTGTGCTGTGTTGTGTTGTGTGTGATGTGTTGTGTGTGTTGTGTTGTGTGTGTTGTGTTGTTTGTGTTGTGGTGTGTTGTGGGTGTGTGTTGTGTTGTGTGTGTTGTGCTGTGTTGTGTGTGCTGTGTGGTGTTGTGCGTGCTGTGTTGTGTGTGTTGTGTGTGCTGTGTGGTGTTGTGTTGTGTGTGCTGTGTTGTGTGTGTTGTGTGTGTTGTGTGTGCTGTGTTGTGTGTGTTGTGTTGTGTGTGTTGTGTTGTGTGTGCTGTGTTGTGTGTGTTGTGTGTGCTGTGTTGTGTGTGTGCTGTGTTGTGTTGTGTGTGCTGTGTTGTGTGTGTTGTGTGCTGTCGTCAGAGATGTAGTCCGTCACGTGCTGCTGTACATAATTATGCACTAAACTCTACGTCATGGTGTTATACTGTCATAATGTGTTACATTGCATTACGCTGTGTAACAGTTTTTTGTTCCTGGGTAGTAAGTGCTATTTCGTAATCGCTTATGCCTAAAAAGTATAGCAAATGGCTATTATTCCCCACGAACTTTGCTTTTTGTGACCAGGACAGTGATATTTTGAAATGTACCTATTTTCAATGTGAAGACGGGCGAATTTGTGTCTTTTCGTTCACATAAAATCAGAAAAAAAACATATGAATCAAAATTAACATGCATTTATACTAAAGTAAAACAAAGATGACTACAAAAGATTTAGAAGTGAGTAGTTTTTCGAGAATTACGATTAATTTAATAGGTTTATTTTTATTATTTTATTATTTCCATTCTACGTGACTTTACCGAAAGAACCAAGAAGATACACAGCATGTGTTATTACTGTCGTAATGTA